CAAATTAAATATAGTTCATAAAAATTAAGGCATTTTGACATTATAGAGATATGGGTCTAGCGATGAAAGAAGAAAGATGTTCTGGAGAATGAATTGTAATTATGGCTTGGACAACATATGGAGAGAGAAGGGAAAAAATCAAAGGAGATGCAGACAGATGTAATTTGATGGCAGTGAAAAGCTCTAGCCAACACTGCAGACCTGCAGTGTTCAGGAAAGGCTGTAGTTCCACTAAACATCTCAAGCTCAAAATTTCAAATATATTTTCACTTTATTTTATGAATGCCCATCAGATATATATCTTTGATGCTACAGCACACTAGTTGAATAAAAATCAACAACATAAAAACCCTCTTCATAAAAGATCCAAGAAGTGAAATCCCAAAGCCATAACCATTTACTCTGTGAGCATATCATCTTTGACAACCATATATAAATGACATCATGACAACAAATACAATGTACAATAAGTGTGCAATGGTACAAAATATACAAAAAGGAATGTGTATTTAATATACATTCAGCAATACCCCATAAAAATCTTTGTTGGGAAAGTGAAGTGCCTTTTCAAGAACAACAAAAAATGTACACCAGTTAAAGATGCCTGAAGTATCTCCCATCAAAAGAGTAAAGCCTGTGTTCTTTGACTGGAGATATAAAATAACCGAGCTGAATTTTCCCTAAAGAAAAAAAAATAATCTAAACTTCATAAAATTGTTGTCCACATCTATAGTATAATAAAATATTTAGAGTGCAGAAAATTCAGTTTAATTTAAAATTTACTTAAAAGTGGGCCCTCTTTTAGCTTTTTAGCTCAGTCATATAAAATCAAAAATCTATATTCCTTATAGTAAAAAGACCGTTTCTGCCCATGTGTCTTTTCTGGTTTTGATGCATTCCACGATTCACATAATTCTGCTATAATGGAAATATGAGACTGACCAGAGGTCAATACAAGAATCGTTCCTCATTTTCTCCTGGCTCTATACAAGTCTTGCATAATTTTACTCAAATATTTTTTGCCTAAGTTTCAGATTCCTTTGAGTTCAACCTCAATGGGAATTTCAGGAAATTACTACAGTGGATATTATGAAGATCACATGCTTATAATGTGGCTGATTTTATGAAAAAGTCCACCTAGCCTCTGGTTTTCGAGGCACCATTTTGTGCCCTTCTTCCAAAGCAGGTACTTGCACTGACAGCAGAAAGCATTTAGACGTTGAGCTGCGCAAGTACGTAAGCCACGCTCAGCTCTGCTGGGCATCCGTCCTCCTTCCTTGCGTGGGTCCAGGAATAAAGGTGGCCAAGTATTTCTAATAAGCCTCCCAACTGACAAAGCTGATCCCTGATTTCCAGAAGTAAGAGATTCTTGCTTTACTTCTAGAGTTCAGGCTTTGTTGGTTTGCAACCCAGGGAAAGGTGACATAAAGGCAGCCCAAGGGAGGGTACTGAAACTGCCAACGACCTCTCTGGAAAGGACAAGCTTCCACAGAGAGGGACAAGTGCAACCTGCACTGTAGGTATCGCTTTCCTTCTCCTTATAGAGTTTGAGCCTGCTACCGCCTATAAACTCATGGGCCCAGACCTACAATTCATACAACAGCAGTTAACACATTTAAATTTAATAGCACCAGGTTTTACCCCAACCCTGATGGCCATGACTTAGGCATCAGAATGGGTTCAACTTGCAGGTGCAACACCATGCCTCTTGTATTAGAGGCCAACACAGACCATCCAGTGCTTCAAAGCATTAAAATCAAAAGGATTTTCCAAAGTTCAAAACTCACCTGAGGCTCATTCCGAGTACCATTCACAATTTTGATTTTGAGAGAGACTCACAGTTATGCTACTGAAGGACAATACACAAACTTTGCAGGAGGTTTCAGGCCTCTCTGAAAATCATTTCTTATGAATATGCGTAGAAGGAGTGATAGGAAATGAAAGGTACCTATAAATCATATGGCATGCCTGAGCGATGTCCAGGTCAATGCAAAAAATTCATGTTATTTGCAGTATGTATATCTCTTCCTGAGTTGAATTTCATTCCCGGTATGGAATCCAAGCGCCTGCTTTCTTTTTTTGGCAAGGTACTCAATCACACGGTAAGGCAATCCAATTTTCTGGTTTGCTTTCTGTCTTCTTTTCTCCTAAATGGCCAAGCATTTCTCACCAAGATCACCACTACAATGTGTGCCAGAATATGTTTAAAATATGGTCCTGTAAAAATAGAAATTAGGTTTGTTTCTTTGAAGGCAGCATTAATTCTTCATATATTCTGGGACCTTGAGGATTTCAGCTGAACAGATTCAAAATGATCTTCCTTTTCCTGCAACAGAAAAGACAGGTTCCTATCAACTGGGATTCCTCAAATTCAGTCCAACAGTTACTACAGTCACTTCTTCTCTTAATATCTCCAGAGCAGCCTTTGCCAAAGACTTCACTTTATTTCTACCACAGTCATTAGGTGCACAGTTTTACCCTTTATTATTTAATAACACGACTAATTCTATAAAAATTTGCAAAATCAATAAAGTTATGCAATAGATATTGTTCATGATACTTACTTTAGAGGGTACAGGGACAGTTTGCATTTCATACTCATAGAATAGGATAGGTACTCAGAGCTGGTGAATTGTGAAGTAACCATATCTATGGTTATTATTACTTATTAATGTGTTTCCTACAACAAATAAAACATTTGGAGCAAAGTCTGTGAATGTGAACACCGCTGCCTCACTCCTGGATTCCCATCCCAACTCCTCCTCTGGGAGACCCACAGGACAAAAAGAGTCTACAAATCCTCTGCCATCTTAAAAATCAGGGCTAGAAGGTTGAGTTTTCTTTCTGGTTTTTAGGCCGGATGACAGCCTAGGCCATCTGGCCAGCAGGCATCAGGGTGAGAAGTGTGGACGTACGCGTTTTACTGCGTGTGTGAACAACCCAATGGTCCACGCACAAGCAATGAATGAAGGAGCCCTAATAAAAGTACGTAGTAGAAAATGCTGGTTCTTGCTTCATGTACCTACCTTTTATACTTGTTGATGCACGCAAACAGTTTGGAAACTATGTTAAACTAACCTCGTGATCTGGTCTTTAAAGCCATCTCCCTCAGATCAGGACAGCCTAGTGCAGACGTGAGAACGAGCCGGGGAGAAAATTGCCCTGTGCTAGCCTACTGCAGAGTGTGCACTTCTTGTTCTGCAGGACCTGGCATTGGTACGCTGGAGACAACAGCTGGAACTAGAACAGCCTCCAATCTGAAGCAGTTCCATAGTTCTATAACTTCTATACTCTCATTAAAAATAACAGCACCTTCTTTCTGTATTACAGGTCTAGCCCTGAATTCCTTGGGTACTCAAAACCACTAATAGCTTCACGAGATGTTTTGCTTCATAGAAATGCCATTGCCTGAAGCTTGAACATATAGTTAGGATACTTGAGATTTTTCTTTATTCCCCAGTTTACATTTCTCCTCTTTTTCTCCCCTGTTTTCCTCCATACATTTTTTCCGAATCTTACATGCATATGCAGCAGGAGATGAATTTCCTCATCTTTTGCATAAATGAAAACCGATGCCTATAACATTTGTTTTGGAGAAATATATATTAAATTCCAGCTATCTGCAGGGATACAGGACACAGATTTCAGTAAGCTAATGAGGTACTGGAAGCTGAGTTTGCCAGCTATGATTATCTAGCAGGAAAAAAAGAACCAGCTTAGAAACATCTGACAGGCTTGTTTAAAAGGGAGAGAATACTCAGGGAGCCTGCTACAATGGATATAGGGACTTTAAAAAACTCTTTTTGAGTCCAAATAGGCATTCAAGTGGTCTGAATACTAAAGTACTAAAGCTCACTTTAAAGAGGAAAAAAACCCACTTCTCCCATGCTCTCGTCTCTCTACTTCTAATCAGGAAGGAACCAGTGGTTGGTGCTGCAAATGGAGCCAGCAAAGCTTTTACAGTTACCAGGCGTACAGCAGAACATGACCCTCACCAGCAGCACTGGTCATTACGCTCAGCCACAGCCAGCCAAGCCATTTCACGGGCAAAAAAATATCATTAGTATTTCAAAGTCAATCCCTATAGGACTTAAAATGGAATCAACGTCCATTTTTGCAACACCCCCACAAAATTTGATGGGATTTGATTTTATTTACATTTTTAATATTCTTAATATTGAATTAAGAATGAATATTGAATTTTTGCCCCTTTCCACAAGGAACAATATTGATTCTGCAAGACAAATAGTCAGGCTGGGGTCAAGGGGAAGTTCTGCATATTAGCTATGTAATGGTAACATCTCCTAGGAGGGCGATCTGGGGAGCAGGTAGTGTGGAAAGAGGACAGCAGTCTAATAGAAAAAGTAAAAGAACAAAGAGAAGAAAAAAATAAGGGACAAAAAAAGAGGCACACAGGTTTTAATTACATTGCACTTAATCACAGATAGGAAAAAATGAATACATTAAAAAAATCTTAACATTCAACATTCTGAAATATTATTTGGATGAGAAACAAGAGAGGGACTTTAAAAAAAAAAACTATTGTAATCTTTTAAGAAACCTTCTTATTTTGGAACAACCTTCTTCAGCAAAACTGTCTGAAAAGGAAAATGTCATCCAATGACATTTCTTATCATTATCCATACGTAGATTTCAGCAGATCAGCTATGGATGGGGTGACGCATGCATGGGATGCTGCACAAAGCACCGTGCAAATTAGCATCACAGCCTCATCACGTCCAGTATTAAATAACGGTGATAATTATTTTTAGTATTAACAGTAGTAATTACTACTCACCTTCGTTGCCAAGGACTTGAGCTTCCCCAGCAGTGACTGCTTATTTGAATATACTATTTCTTCTTCATTATCTTCTCCTTCCATTATAGCACAGCTGTCAGCAGCTGGCAGCTCACACTCTTTTGAGTTTGCTGTCATCACTAATTTGGAATATTTATACTCCAGCCTGCAGATATAAAGCCAGACAGGCAGAGATGTTTTTACAAATGTCCCATATTCAAGGTTTTTGTAATTTAAATTATCTGCAGTCCTTCCACATAGTCACTTATGAGGTATTGACTGGAAATCAGATATTTTTCAATCATTAAAAACATGTAATCAGAATAGTATTAACAATACATCGACCTCCTGCTCTCCAGATTAGACTTCTATCCTTTATGAAAGAGCTATGTTTTCCCAAAGGACCACAAGTAGGTCGAGAGGATTCCTGCATGAAGAAGTGCGACCTGTGTGCTGGCTGGGGCAACAGGAGGTCTGACTTCTGCCTGTATCACGTCCAAGGGGGCTACGGGACAGAGAAGAGATGTGTAACAGTGTGTAGCAGGAGGCAGCAAGAGGTGGGGACCATGATACTGGAGACTGTGTTTGGTGAGGCTGTGTGTGCTATAGGGCGATGAAATCCCATGTAGGTGGAATCACATTTTTAATGTTTATGGCATGAGATTTGGGAAGCAGAGGACAATGGGGATGGGGAACAGTCAGTATGTTCAGTCTGAAAAGCAGGGATCTTATGGGTATGTACCAGACATTCCCTGCCAAAATAGACCTAAGCAATATACGGTCAAGAACCTTGATATCTGAAAAGTCATGGCAGTCAGGTGAAGTCCCTGGTGACTGGAAAAGGGGAAATATTGCACCCATTTTTAAAAAGGGTAGAAAGGAGGACCCTGGGAACTACCGACCTGTCAGCCTCACCTCTGTGCCTGGGAAGATCATGGAACAGATCCTCCTGAAAGCTATGCTGAGGCACATGGAGGACAAGGAGGTGATTCAAGACAGCCAGCATGGTTTCACCAAGGGCAAATACTGCCTGACCGACCTAGTGGCCTTCTATAATGGAGTGACTACATCAGTGGGCAAGGGAAGGGCTACGGATGTTGCCTATCTGGACTTCTGTAAGGTCTTTGACATGGTTCCCCATGATATCCTTCTCTCTAAATTGAAGAGATATGGATTTGATTGGTGGACTGTTTGATGGATGAGGAATTGGTTGGATGGTCGCATCCAGAGGGTACTGGTCAACGGCTCGATGTCCAGATAGAGATGAGTGGTGTCCCTCAGGGGTCCATATTGGGACCAGTACTGTTTAATATCTTCAATAGTAACATTGCCAGTGGGATTGAGTGCAACCTCAGCAAGTCTGCAGACAACACCAAGCTGAGTGGTGCGGTTGACACGCCTGAGGGACAGGATGTCATCCAGAAGGACCTGGACAAGCTGGAGAGGTGAGCCTGTGTGAACCTCATGAGGTTCAACAAGGCCAAGTGCAAGGTCCTGCACCTAGGTCGGGGCAGCCCCCAGCATCAATACAGGCTGGGGGAAGAAAGGATTGAGAGCAGCCCTGCTGAGAAGGACTTGGGGGTACTAGTGGACAAAAAGCTGGACATGAGCCAACAATGTGCACTTGCAGCCCAGAAAGCCAACTGTACCCTGGGCTGCATTGAAAGAAGCGTGGCCAGCAGGTTGAGGGAGGGGATTCTGTCTGTCCCTCTATCCCGCTGTGGTGAGACCTCACCTGGAGTACTGCATCCAGCCCTGGGGCCCTCAACACAGGAAAGACATGGACCTGTTGGAGCAGGTCCAGAGGAAGCCACAAAGATAGTCAGAGGGCTGGGACATCTCTCCAATGAGGACAGGCTGAGAGTTGGGGTTGCTAAGCCTGGAGAAGAGAAGGCTGCAGGGAGACCTGATTGTGGCCTTTCAGTACTTAAAGGGGGCTTATAAGAAAGACGGAGAGATACTTTTTAGCAGGGCCCGTTGCGAAAGGACAAGGGGTAATGGCTTTAAACTAAAACAGGGTAGATTTAGACTGGATATAAGGAAGAAATTCTTTACAATGAGGGTGGTGAAACACTGGAACGGGTTTCCCAGAGAGGTGGTAGATGCCTGATCCCTGGAAACATTCAGGGTCAGGATGGACAGGGCTTTGAGCAACCTGATCTAGTTGAAGATGTCTCTGCTCATTGCAGAGGGGTTGGACTAGATGACCTTTAAACACCCCTTCCGACCCAAACTATTCTATGATTCTATGATTATTTTAACAAAGCTGAAAGGGACTACTTAGACTAAAGAGATATCCTGTTGGTCTTCAGACTTTGAGAAAGCGGTGTTGTTTCAGGACCTAAGGTCAACTTCAAACTCTTGGGGGTTAAAAAGGCAGTTCCTGTTGTGAAATTATGCCATAAAAATCACTGTGCATTTCCTGTACTTTCTTCACTAGCATTTTCAATAGCAACTGTTGGCAGAAGAAACCTCAAGTTGGTGGATTAATGAACTGATCCAACATGGTATTTCTCATCAACATTGCCATAAGGTCAGACCCATGAAAGGCTTTCTGTTCACTACATCAAGGTCTTAGCATACTTTATATGAACACAATTTGCAGTACTTACTTCTGGTTCTTCTTCCAAAAATAGCAGGTCAAGGCTATGAGCAGAACGGCTGTGAAAGCACCAACACCAGCTCCAACTTTTAGCCAAAAGTCCACTGTTTCACAAGTGCTGGTCCTTTTTTCCGGCAAGGGAACCCCTTTAATGCAATGCTTTGGCTCATTCCATACATACAAGGTTTCCTTTCACATGGAAAATAGAAAACACCAAGAAGTGAGCTGCTTATAGGAAATGAGAGAACTATTTAGAGTTGAAGAAAAGAAGCTGTTTTGAGGTAGACAGGTTGGACAACTTTTCAGTGAAAGCAAACCAAACGTGTACTTCAGGTTTTCAGACTCAGGTTGAATTATATTGTCTACTCATATGTCCCCTTGATTGCACTTGCAGGTTCAGATGTGGCAAAAGGATTTCTACTTCTGAATTGTTCTTCACTTGGCACAATAAGGGTTGGACAGTGATTGTGAATGTGTTGTGCCTGAATTGGAGCTGTCGATCAACAGGGCAGTTCTGAACCTGTGAAAGGACTTCCTAATATTTGACTAGAGAAGGCAGCAGCAAAAAAATTGCAAGGAAGGAAGGATGAATCCTTTCCTAGCCTGCCCCTGATGTTTGTGGCTATTAAAGGACTGAAGTCCTTTGGGCACTCCATCTTCCACAAATAACTTGCCTGCATCTATGAATGCATACAGAGTTCATGTTCCTACCCACACAGCTGGTGAGCACAAGCCAGCTCTCCTCCAGGAACTAGGCTGCCATTGGCACAAATATCCCTGAGTCTCAACACAGCACCTCACCAATAAGACTTGCACCCAGCCAGCTCAGAGCATGGACTGAGATTTCCCAGGTCTACCTGCATTTACATATCGACTTGCACACCAAATTTCAGCTGAGTCCAAGTTATACCCAAATGAGCCCATCTGACTTGGAGACATGGGTCCTGTACCTGAAATCCTTTTTTGCAGGCTCCCTCAATCTCGTGGTAGTCTTGCTCCGTGCAGAGAGGGCAAGCTTCTGCACTTTCCCATACGAAGTAGAAAGTGCATCCATCACAGGTGCCCGCCGGGCATGAGCTAAGAGGAGAGCAAAGCTTAGTTATCACTTATGAAACACTCTGGGGTTTGCATCCTCACTCCGCATTCTGCTGCTGAAGATTGGTAATGGTAAGTACAACAAATGCGTAAACATCCATCAAGTCAGCAGATGGAAAAATCTGGGGGAAGAATTTTTCCCAGTTTGTAAAATGCTTTCACAAGTGAAAACAGATGTTGGGCTGTCAAAGGTCTAAAATAACAGTTCAGTTCCTGGCCGTGAGTGCTACTCACGCACCTACGATGAAGAGAAGAGAATGAAGCAAGCCTTGGAGACCAGCAGAACTACTCCAGCGTTTCACCAGCACGGGCTAGCCCAGCATACACCTCTATTGCTGTTCTCCTGCACTGGGTGGCTGTTCCACATGAGTGCTGCTATCTGGTTCCTGCTGTTGTTCTAATGATGTCTGGGTGATTTTATCCATATGGAATGGACTTGTCCTGTCATGGTTAATTACTAGAAGGATGTTCACCAGTTAATGAAGAGATAACAGCTTCTCTTAGTCTAAGAAAGACTAATGACCTTATTTTGTATTCAGCCTGCAGAAGAAAGTTGTACTGGCGATGGCAGGACATTCATGCAGCTTTTGTTACTGACAATTACATCAGGTCTAACAGCAGCAGTGGCCAAAAGTCCACGAAAGAAGCTAGATCATGTAAATGTAAAATATATCCATACAGAAAAATGGATTTAAAGAGTTTTTTTCTAGATCATCTGGAAATCTGTTATCCTGATCTGAAGGACTGAAAAATTCACAGCCCTAAAAGCCCATTCTGACTTATACTGATTTGAGTAACTGTCAACTGTCCTCTCTGGATTATAGAACATTTTTTCAAAGTGCAATGGCAAGAGCATTGACAGACCTTTCTCCTCAACCTTTTTCATATCATACTCCAACTTCATATAATACTAAACACCATGTCTGGAGGATCAAGGAGTTATACGCAGTATTATTTGACATGTATCAGATACCTCACTGTTTGAAAACAGCTGTCTGACTGCTGGGCTCATCAAAGGGGGGTAGGAAGAAGTCAACAAGAACTGAGATAAGTTACGCCATGTCAGCTGTGTGCTGCTTCTGCCCATGCTCACACCTTTAAAAGCAAGGTAGGTTACTCCTCCCCCACGACTGGTGAGTTCTCACAGCTCACATGCTTAACCTACAACATTAGGACACCTGAAGGATTTTCACACAGCAGCTGATAGATGGTAGATTGTTGCCCAGTGTAATTTGTAGTATATCAGGTCCCTAAGAAACATCTCCAAAAGCATTCAAACACCAATCACTCATCTATCACCTGTAGATGACTCTCTGCCTTCATTCAGGTGAGCATCATTCACCTGTCCCAACAGGGACAGGGATCAAAGAGGATCCCACACTTTTTACGCCGTTAGCTTCTGGGAATGGGACTTAGCTTCTGGGAAGGAGGATCAGTGAGGGGGTAATCAGCAGATTTACAGTAATGTCCAGACTGAGGTGGGCCTTGACGATCAAAGAAGAGGGTTATCAGAGTTGACAAAAACTTCCAAAAAATTACAGGGTGTTGCTGAAGAGTAATAGAATTAATTATTTTATTGTTTTTTCTCTGCAAGTTTTCAGGTGCAGGAATAAACAGTACTTCAGAAACAAGAAGGTTTTTCAAGTTACTTGAATCAGAGTGAAAGGAAAAAAAGGTCAGGCAAATTAAACACAACTGGTACAAGAGGTCCAGGACAGAAATTGGAGTGATGAGACACATAAATAAATACATCTAGAACTTGAACTAGACAGAGTCAGGGCTCACATAAGCATTGCAATAGAAGATTTCATCATTCCTAGGACAGGTTGCTCTTTTTCAAAAAAATCACTTTGTTCACAGCCACTGCTGTAGATCAAGGAAGAAAAACTACCTCTCAAAGCCCGGACTGGGCAGTTTTAATCAGGAGGCCAAAAACCAAAACAAGGATCTGAAATAAAGAAGTGGAGACAAGAAAACATCACTACATTTGCTTTTGGCTTTAAGCTTGGAACAACGTGCCTGAGCTCTAACCTCTCTCACCACATAGCCTAAATACACAGCAGCTGGTCTGCTGGGAGGAGACGGACACACAGGTCCTTCACCTAGGAGAAATGAGAGAGACCTCCTGGGTGGCTGATGAGGGAGACGGCACTCCTCATTGCTGTTGAATAAAGTTACTAATGAGTTTTGTAAAGTTGCCTGAGGAGGAAAGGCTCCTAGGCACTACTAGGATACAAATACTTAAATACCTGGGCACAGAAAGCTCTCCTTGGTCTGGTTTGTTGGGGTTGCATCTCATCGCCACAACAGTTGCACGGCCGTTTTCACAGGAGGTTGTCACTGTTGAAGACCTAATGTCAAACAAGAGGAGAAATGTAATAGCCTTCTACTACAGTAAATACATGTTGCTCTTTCATAGGTCTCTGTCCACTCATGCAACTGCAGTACTAAAGAAATACTTTTCACCACAGCGCTTTTGCCTTTGTCAACTGGAAGAAAAAAAAGGAGCAACAGAAGCAGGGTAGGTTTCACCACTTCATTTAAATCTCAAAGTGCTCTGGGATGCCACTCAGGGAACTACTCTGTTTTTCTAGCTAGTTTGAATTCTGCCAAATCAAAGAATAAACCTGCCCACTAAACAGAATAGAACAATTAAATAAGAGAATCGCAGGTGCTGTGGTTGGTGTGCTACTCTGCTGGAGAGTTTATGGTGGCTGCCTCCTCGCCTAGTAATCTGAGAACCACGCTGTCCTGAAATAGCACAAGGCAAAGGGGATTCAAAAAACGGACCTTATTCCAATCATAGAATCACAGAATTGTTTAGGTTGGAAAAGACCTGTAAGATCAAGTCCAACTGTTATACATGACAGACAACAACAACATGATAGACATGGTAATCCAAGTTCATAATACACTCAAGTAGGGTTGCTGGTGTGGGGTTCAGTTTGCAGAATCAGACGTAATTTAAGTATTCACATATGCATAAAGTGCTGATATCCAAAGTGCTATAGCCAATTAAGATCTATCACTAAAGTCAACACAATCCAGAGAGCCAATCAGTACAACAAATACAGGTCTTAAGATAAACTGAATAGCCCCACAGGCTTTGGAGTCCAAGCTTAGAAACTCGGTTCACATGAAGGCACCAGAATGTAGACATCTTAAATGAGGTGATCTTTGAGCTCATTCTTAACCAAGCTGAGGTATTTTTTATGGAGGAAAGTGAAGAATAGGAAAAGCACACTAGTAACTGTGCATGTTGGAACAATAAATTTTAACCTCAATTAGTTCATTTTTGTAACATCAAAGTAAATACACATGAATGTGAAAGAAAATACGCAATGGGAAGTGGATATATCGAAGCCATATGTGAGAAATGATGGAAACAAACAAGACACTGGCAGTGGCACCTGGACGAATAAAAGCTCTGGTATCACTCTCTACAGATCAAGTGTAATTTAGATTTCAGTAAACAGCATTTGCTGATTTCATAAGATGTTGTTCAACAGGCCAATCAATACCAGCCAGATACTGATTAAAGTGATAAAGATTAAAGGCAGATTAAAGATCTGCCCTCACAGTTTTTGTTTCCTTTCAACAAATAAAGAAATTTGATGTACCAATAAATTGTATATTTTACCTACTTGTAAAAGAAATGCACATCAGGTATTTTGCTTGGAGAGGGAGGAAATGTATCTGTCTTGATGCTGATATTTTCCAGTGTTGTTTCAACAGTAGCTCCTAAAATTAAAAAAAAAATAAAAATAAAAAAATAAAAAGAAGAGAGAAGCTAGGAATGGATTTCTGAGGGGTTCACATACAACATTTTCTCAATATGAAATGTATGGGTCTCACTTAATAGCATTTAAGGGCATTACTATACACTATACGGTTTCTTCTAAGTAAACTTTGTGGATTTGTATGTAGCTCATAACAGTCTGATTTCCTCACATAGACATAAAACACCCCAAAATTAATAAAACTACACCAGTATAAATTACTCTTTTATATGACTTTAAAGCAATCACGGGATATTACAGAATCATAAAATAATTTAGGTTGGGAAAGGACTGCTGAAGAAATCTGATCCAATGAACTGCTCAAAGCATATGCCTTGAATGTATAACCCTAACACATCGTAACCACCTAACACCCTGAGCAATCTGCAGTACTGTGGGAGAAACCTGAAAGATGCAATGACAAGGTTCAGAAGGATTATGGAGTTGGAGGCAAGCCTTGACGGCTGTCGTGGTTTAACCCCAGCTGGCAACTCAGCACCACTCAGCCACTTGCTCACTCCCCCACAGTGGGATGGGGGAGAGAATCGGAAGGGGAAAAGTGAGGAAACTCATGGGTTGAGATAAAGACTATTTGATAGGGAAAGCAAAAGCCACACAAACAAGCAAACAAAGAAAGGAATTCATTCCCTGCTTCCCATGGGCAGGCGGGTGCTCAGCCATCCCCAGGACAGCAGGGCTCCATCATGCGTAACGGTGACTTGAGAAGACAAACGCCATCACTCCCAACTTCCCCCCCCTTCCTTCTTCTTCCCTCAGCTTTATATGCTGAGCATGACGTCATGTGGTATGGAATAGCCCTTTGGCCAGTTGGGGTCAGCTGTCCTGGCTGTGCCCCCTCCCAGCTTCTTGTGCCCCTGGCAGAGCTGAGAGCTGAGAAGTCCTTGGCCAGTCTAAGCGCTACCCAGCAACAACTAAAACCACCAGTGTTTTACCAACATTCTTCTAATACCAAATCCAAAACACAGCGCTATGCCAGCTACTAGGGAGAAAATTAACTCTATCCCAGCTGAAACCAGGACAATGGCACATTTTGGAACAAATGACAGGCTGGTGTGTAGAACAACACAGGTTACACAGGTTACACAGGTCTGCGTGGATTTTGGAGAAGAGCTGAAAAAGAGGAAAATTAAAGTAACCAAAGATCTGAGAGATTCTTCCAACCCCACGAACCAAGGAAGACAGAAAATACTGGTGCTGCATTACAACATTTCAGAAGAGGGAGCTGTACAAATAGGACAGGCTGCATCCTTCCAGTGAGGTAAAAAAATTGCTAGAACAACAAGAAAAAGTGGTAGCAGCCAGAAACTGGTGGGAAGATGGGAAAGACTGAAGAAAAAATTTCCACTTGTTTTTGCAACAGTTGAGACAGCCTAGCTGAATTCTTAAGACTCTGACTTGACTTCGACTTGTCTTCGACTTGCCTGGCATTACATTTGGGAGGATGATTCACACATCCATGTCTGATTATAACCCTTGTAGGTAAATATAGTAGATAACAAAGGTGACTACCTGGTGTAGGACAAGTCAGAGCCTGGGACTCTGAAAGCACATGGATCAATGGGCTCAGTAACATTGCTCAAGAGGGCCTTCAGGTGAGGGATAGCTACAGAGCATCATGTCAACAGAGAGAAGAAAATGATCTGTGCTGCAGCAACCATCAGGAGCATGTGCAGAAGAATTTCAGGTTATTGTGCAGGGACCTCTGCCCTGAGAACATATGCTGACATCAGCAAGGATGATTACTTCCTCTCATCAAAGACATTGCATCGAACACAGGGTAACTTAAATTTGGATTGCAACATGATGGACAGAGATCAGTTACTCGCTAGACTGGAGATGATAGCTCCTAGGGACCTTATTACATTCAACAGAGGCAATGAGAGAATATTCCCATCCAATATGCAGGACTGTAGAGATGGCATCTCAGAGTTTCTCAAAAATAAGAACACTAGAAGCAAAATCAAGTGTGAAAAAAAAATGTCATTCTTCAGAGGTTATTAATTATATGGCTAAAAAGCCACAAGGACTCTCTCAAGAATGACAATGGCTTTGACTAAGAGTCCACCTTGGATCAGAACAGCAGTAAAAAAGCAATTCAAATAAAAACATTGTCACAAGCTTAATGGAGGGGGAATAGAGAATCAAACAAAATAAAAAGTTAGGAGTTACAGAAAAATTATAACGGATGCTAAAGACTTCAGGGAAAAGCGTGTGTTTGGCAGCATTAGACAAACTATAAGTTTGGAGATTTTTTTAGAAGTACTAGAAATAAAAGTACATCCTGTGGATAGGAAAGGCAAACTTCAAGCATTTTATAATATAGCAATTGTTATAAATAAAAAGCAGCAGATGAGCTTGATATCTGTTCTATATTAGGAAAAAATCAGGACTATCTCCTTGCTTTCCAAGACAGTGACCAAACACCTCATTCCTTCAGTGGCAGGAGGGGATATTGGCATCTACTTGGCATGCACACTTTTAAACTAGCAAACCCATATCTAAGAGTAACCTTTAATAGAGCTTTTAATGATAGCAAAATGTCAGAAGCCTGATGGGGAGGGGATATAGTGAGCCAAATTACTACGATGTGGCTAACACAATGAGGCAAAATAACAGGAACAGTAAGCAGAAAATGGGTTTCAGTTAGCAGATAGATACAAAATGAGTGACAGTCAACAGGAATCTATGGAGAACAGCTCTTGTTGAACAAATATGATTTCATTCCCTGAGTGCTGATGAATTTGGTTGCTAAAGAAAATTATGTAAATTTATCAAGTATTTCACTAATTACCCCATGAGATTCTAATTAAAAAGTTAGCAGTGTAATATCAATTAAGTGCACACTCTGGATTAAAAATTATTTAACCAACTAATTATAAAATTATCTGGCTATGGGAAATTGTCATCAAATGTGGAATGTCTCAAGGCTTCTCTAGGCATTGATACTGGAGTCCCAAAATGCAAGATTACCATCAGGGATCTGCAAGTAACTATACAATCACTGTTGGTAAAGGGTGTAGATGAGACGAAGATTAAGCGGAACAAGAATAAAACACAGAGCAACTTAGTTCACGTGGTAAGATGGTCCCAATCAAACTAAACCTATTTTAGTGCAGACAAGTGCAGCAAGGGATGGAGGCCAGTCCTGAGGAAGAGAGATTTTCCCTTGGGAACTGTAACTCTGAAAAAGATCTAGAGTGGACATCAGTTCCAAGAAGCCATCATGAAATCCCATGAGTCTGGAGAAAGAAGGACTTGGGGATTCCATCCTTGCATGTAAATGCAATTATGTAAGTGATTTTTATTGCTGTTATAGTGAATTAAATACTAGAACACTATTCCATTCTGATGGATGCTTTAAGAAAATATAATAACAAGTTACAGAGGCTGCAGAAAGACCCTCAAAAATTATTCCGATGCCTGAGAGAAATACATGATAGCAAGACACTTAGAAGAACTTGGTCTACTTAGTTTATCAGCAGAGCAGACTGGGGAGGGTGTGGTGATTCCAGTACACAAAATATTTCTCCAAGGAGAAAAATGTGGGTGTGAAATGGAGAAAGAATAACAAGAAGCAAGAGCTGAAAACTGAAACCAGGCAAATTCAAACAGGAAAAAGCCTGCTTTGAAACAAAATACAGAGATGGTGTTTGACCAGTGGAAAAAATACCAATGACTGTGGCAAAGCTTTTATTTCTGGCAGTCTTAAAAGTCCAGGTTGAATGCTCTTCCAAAGACGTGCTTTTGTCAAACATGAGTTTCTGGGCTCAGAGCCGGGGAGAAAGTACAAACACTCAGTGCCTGTAATGGATAGGTGAGCAGACTAAATTACTTCATTGTCTAATCTGGCCTCAGACTCTGGGAACTTGTGAGCTGGAGCAATGCAAGACTTAACGATGTGCACGGCCCCATGCTGCCCTAAGCCTCCTCCTTCCCCGCCTAATTATGTCCCAGCACCAGGTTCTTCTTCTGAAATTGCCCAAGTGGGGACTTGGCATGGACAGAAATACTTGGACTAATGTGACTACTACAGTGATTGGTCTTGCCCTGCGTGAGGCGGGTAGGAAACATGAAAGAAAACCAATGCTTTTTAATTACATTCTCCACATTTTTGTGCTGAAATCCTATGCACCTTGGGACCCCCTAGACCAAACACAGGGAAGAGTGAGTAATATGGGCATGGAAAACAAATAATAGGGGAGCCCTTACTCTTCTCTTCCAGCCACCAGCTCTACTGAAACAGCAGCAAAAAGCAATGGCATCCGTCCACGTCTGCTTCACAGCTCAGGAACAAAGCAGGGCTGAATCTTGGGCTGCCGCTTTGCTTTTCTCCCAAGGTAATGCAGCACTGCTGAGCTGAGAAGGTTTTACTGTGCAGCCCTAAATACATGAGAGTACGTCCATGATAACAATACGCAGAAGGCAAACCATGTACCTAAGAACCTGTCGGCAAGGCTGTTGGACTGCAGAGCCAGGGCTGTTCGGAAACCCTTGCTGTCTGACGGGATGATCGTGGACTGACAGACAAAAGCTCCCACGAAGTTGGAAAAATCTTCTGATTCTGCAACCATGTCCTTCAGAGTAACATCCGTGATGTTGTCAGTGCAAATAGCCATCTTCTTCCCCTGTGGACAACCAGAAAAAAATGGGGAAGCTGTTGGTTGTTGGTAGGACATGAAAAAGTTTGGGAAAGGAGAGACTACAAACTTCCTGACTGGATGAGTTTCATTCCTGCACCTAAGAAACACCATGATGTTTCTATCGTGAGAGGGACAAATTGCAACAACAAACTGTGCCATTGTGAAAACTCTGATTAAAGCCTTGTAGAGACCCAGAACCACAACGTCACCTCCGATATGTGTCTTATCAGAAACCTGTGCTACGGAGCACTCTTCTTTGTTTATCTTGACAGCCCAGTGTTTAGTTGCAGAGCATAATAAAATGCCTCACAAAGGAAAACCATATTTCCCTTGCCTTTAATAATATACTGTAGAATACCTCTTTATTTGGGATTTAATCCAGATAAAATCTTTTCAAAACACAAATACATGAAATCCCTAAACGGATATATAGCCTTCAAGGCTGCATTAACGTCACATGTCAAGACCAGTCCTACAATCTCAAAGCAACAGCAATGAAAGACAAATCACCAGACTCAGTTTTCCTGACAAAATGCCTAGTACTTGGGACCTAATCATATGGTTGGTAGTCCTGTAGTACCATCATAGTGGTTTGGGAAAATGAAGACCACAGGGGAGTAAGCATAGCTGTACCATTGTGGATCTAGTTGTCAGCAGCTCTAATCCAGCTGGTACTTAAACACACATTTAAGCCTAAAAGTATGCAAAACACCATAAAGAAATATGACTACTCATTTACCTCAACTCATGCAAACCCTTTGGTCCATGGGAAAGAGACTTCAGAACTTTGCAGGGCTGAACATCAATGTAAACTACATGCATTGGCTTCCATGGCACAATACACATCACTGGTACCACTTGAAACGTCGATTTATGTATGTGACAACATGGTCTGGTACAGTCCAAGCCCCAGACATAAAAATCTTGACTCTGGGGCAGAGGCTGTTTGCACTCGTGAATTAAATGCATTTTTCCACTACTTTAAAAGGGTGCAACCACCTCGGCCACTGGCAGAGAGCAGGGTGACCAGGGGCTCTGCTGACAGCAACATCTCCAGCCAAGTCACAAGGGAAACATACGGAAAGAAGTTGGCAACTGAGACTCAGACTCTTCACTTGAGATCCTTGGTGGCAGCACAAAAAGGTCAGGGTTATGACCCAAGTGACTTGAAGGCAGAAGAACTAAGAAAAGGTAGGGATGTGATAGGGTTTTTCTTCTGAGCGTTCCTTACACCTAAAACACTGTCATCTCTGCCCTAGAAAATCACTTGGCTGCTCAGAAGTCCTCTTGCACTGCTGAGCAAGATCCAGAGGAAAGTGTTTGCATGGTGTTGGTGGCTGTAGGGGAATCCTCATTCTGTCTCAGCATGATCCCACAGAGCATCAACATGGGCAGCAAATTGGTTAATCCCCTCAACCCTCAACACCAGCTGAGCTCACCTCATTCCCACACAGGCTGATGTTAAAGAAGTGGAAGAACTTGGTCCCTCGGGAGGTGAAGCTGGGTCCACTCATCAGCGAGCCCACCTGGCTGAGGTTGCTAAAATCGTAATTCAGGCTCTGGTTATCCTTGATGTATGACACGAGGCAGTCACTGAAGCAGGCAGAGTGGTCCTTCAGAGAAGGAGAGGCACCCATTAAAGAGCAGTTATGGACCAGCAGCAAAACGTTCACCTGGGAGTTAAAGCAAGCAAGTGCAGACAGGACCACCTTCGTTGTTAAGGATGGGGTGGAACTCTGTCCTATGCCTGTAATTCACCTTTCCCTTGGGAGAATTCCCATTCGTGTTGCAGTCCCTGCAATCACATATCAGGACTTTAACGTTCCCTAAGCCTGGTATTTCTGCTGTCTGCTGCATTAGCCAAGAAAATGAAAAGTTTCTTGCTTTGTTTTGTTGTAGGTACTTTTAGGATCCCAGTGTCCCAGCCTAAAGCCCTGTAGATAGACCAAAATATGGCCTCAGTTTCACTTGCATTGTGGAAAGGAAACACAAGAACGAGCTCAAAAACCAGGGACAGGATACAAACCCAGCTGGAGAAAGGCAAAATATGAACAAATTGGAGCAGTTCTTCAAGTCCCTGTGCACCTCCTTGCCAAAGGATGCTGTACGTGATAAATGTTTATCTAGGCTTAACGGCAATTTCATATAAGAGGAATTTGTTAAAGGTTTCTGAAGGCACAGAAACATCATCCAGCTGTGGAAGTTCCTCAGTTTAAAACAGCAGGAGTCTGGGACAATTTTAGGTGGTAGTAACGTACATGCTTGCCCTGTTCTTACACTGTCCTCAGTACAGCTTCTTGAAATCACCCTTTTTTTGAGCCAGTGTGGACAATTTTATCTTCTTATTGAGTATTTGCAAACAGAAATTAGACTAGGGACATATTGGGAAGGGTGGGATCATTGGTTATAATTATACCCCAATGCTCACAAGATACCTGTAGGAGCACACTAAAACTGGCCCTTTGAGTGCTTATATCCCAATAAACCCTGTCTGCCCATTGCTCAGAGACACTTGGTTTCAGTACCTTGGTGCTCTTGCTGCCAGGCCCACATGGGATGCAGGCCTCCCTACCATAGACCTGGTGGATGGACAGGAAGGTGTTGGCCGGACACTCCTTGCACTGGTTGGTCTCCTTCTCGATGTAGTGTCCCGCTGGGCAGGGCACGCAGGATGAGCCAGACTGCTCGGAGCCCAGCGCACAGGCCCGGCAAGAAGAGGCGACTCCATCCACTGCATTGGTCACCGTGATGGAGTAGATCTTTGCCATGTCATTGATGAACTGTCTGCTCTGGAACAACAGCCGAGGAAACCACCCTGGTGCCATTGTGCCATTGCACGGGGACACTAATCACAGCGCTGCGCACCAGGGCACTGATTCGGGGAGCGACTTATGCACGCCGCTGCCTGTCAGCATGGATGGTTTACCCACAGCTGCCACGCAAGCAACGCTATAAGGTGACAGCCCCTCACCCTTTACAAGAAGCCTGTGAGCTTCAATGGAGGGCAAGAGCTCTGGCGGTGAGCGCCCAAGGAAAGCTGTGCTGTAAAGCCCTGTATGTAAAGAAGTACTTACATCTTGGCCCTCGTTTATTCTCTGAAAGGCCCAGGTGAACGTGAAGGAAGCGTTTTTGGAGATGATGTGAGTATAGGATTGTTTCTCTTTACTTCTTTCCCATGATTCCACCACATTGGTATTTTTTCGATTAATGTCCTATAAAATGGGCATAATTTGTTTAAAAAAACAAAAAATGTCAACGCTATTGTTTTATAACACAAAGATTAATATATGTAAAGGACTTTACAATTGCATTTAATGTTTAGTAAATAATGGAGAGGGAACATATTTATTCTGTTTTCCATTGCTGGCAATTTTTTAATTGAGAATGGATGTCTATTCCAAAAGATACTGCAGTTCACACCAGTTAAGTTCTATAGCAGGTTATAAATGTTATGAGGACAGATTCAGCACAGTGGTTCTTTCCTATTTGGAATTCTATTTTTGTATAAAACATGTGGGTACCAGAGGACAGAGAGGGGAAGGCCAAAATTCAAAGAAAAATTGCAGTTTCCGCCATCTTCAGGCACCCACTTTGTTGGTGTCTCTAGTGAACCAGTGACAGTGTCAAAGTTTACACAAGAAAAACCTGTTCAATTTATGTTTGTGTTTCTTATTCTCCATCAGCTGTAAATGTTCCAGTGAAAGATGCTTTTCCTTTAAAAGAGATTCCTTCAAATTATCACTAAAGGCAGATTCCTTTAAATTACCACCTAATTTCCACTTAATTCTCTTTAAATTAAGAGCAAATTCCTTTAAAGTACAACTAAATACAAAAAAGACAGGACCAGCTTCCCTTTGCAATGGCAGGGGCAAGGGACCCCTCGCGGATCCAGTTACCTTCCTCAGCTGATGGACTTTTGATTAGCAGATAAGGAAAGTAAAAAACACAGCCCTTTGCTTTCCCAAACAAATGCCTGCCTGCTGCCCTATGGATTCTCCAGGTCACTGGGAGGATCAAATTTCCAAATTTTCTGTTCCTCATCCCTCTGTCCCACATCTTGACTTTCGACTCTATTAAACTTTTGGAAGCTGACTCACTGCAACAAGAGACATTCAGAATTTTATCAGTTGGTTTAACATGGGAAAATTGGGCTCTTTGGTTTCCAATGATTTCCTTTAAAATAAACAGATAACCAGGAATGGTTCACAACTCATGTGGTGGAGGAATTTTGCTAGGTCATTCATTAAATCCTTCCTGCAAGGGCACCGCAGATATTAAACTAATGTCATACTTAATCTTAGTCATAATAAACCAAGTGCAACTAATCACGCCTATGTAGAGGTATTAAAGTGACATGTGGAGTATCAGGCTCAGTCCTCAGTCACGGAGAGAGAGGTCTCACTTACCACCATAAAGTACAGCACACAATCTGCTGAACAGATGGTCTCAAAAATAAAAGTAATCCGTCCTAGTTCTGACCCAGTTGCTCCTGTCACCGATGTCGGAGGTCTGTTTAACAGAGAAGGAACAAAACATTTACAAGGTGCTCTCCAGACAGGTAGCAGTCAATCCTTCAAATTGCTTTTCGTACAGCGGGGAAACCATCAAAGTCCTGTCACATAAAACCTGCCCTTGCAGAACCGCGGAGGCCAGGTTTGCACAGCAGCTCTGCACTGGGTATTGGGCACAGAAAGATTATTTTTTAAGTGTCTGACTTCTTTATGGTACAGTTCCCTCCTTATAACCAACACCCAAATTTGACAATATTGGTAGGGAGTCTTATCCCTTAAATGCCTCACATGCTTTAAGTGATTTACACTGATTTAATTGCATATACCCTCCACTGGTTGGAAAAGCATTCGGGGGTTTTGTACAAATCAGAAGCATTCAGGGTACTCCCCTGCAAAGTACTAAATAGTAAACTGCGACACGCGAAACGTTTCCACAGTTGTGTCTCTTGCTTCTCTTTTATTTTCATTGCTGCTTGCCCATACAGTAAAAGAATGTAAAATGGTTTGCTCGTTGGGTGTAAGAAGTCACAACCACAGCAAAGGGAGGGTGAGGTTCATTTTGCCATACCTTACTCGTCTTACTAATTGGCACCTGGTCTGAGCTAGGAGTCTAAGCTCACTTTTTTAACAAATAAGTACCTCAAGGAGCTCATTCATCCTGTCTGAGGGTCCGGGAGAGGAGGGATCTCCTGTTCTCCTGCAGTGCCTGCCCCTCTCCACTGGCTGCACAGACTGTGCAGGCTGCTCAGAGCCGCAGTGCAAAGTAAGGTGGGTTTCGGTAAAACACCTCCAGGGCAGGCACCGGTGTACACCCCGTGGCAGATTTAGCTGGTAACTTCAGGATAATTTAGAAATAGAGGGATAGGAATGTTTTTTCTCTGTTTCTAGACAGCCGACGGGCTGGCATCTCAGACTGAAGCAAACGCTGCTGAAAAGCAAGGTCTTACAGAATAGTCTGCTGCAATGGGCTGACTGGGGACAAGGAATAAAATCCAAGTTTCCCCTTGTCTCTCATTCATGACATCATTTCACTTCAGAAAGAAAAACTCTGTCCATTCCAGGGATAATGTGAAATAAGTGTAAGAGTCAGAGATAAATGAGAAATAGATGACCAAAAAAATCCTGTTGCTTACTTAAATCCTGGGATGTGCAGGTTCAGGATAAGATAGTCATTGTCAGAGCCACCTGCCCCACTCTGGATGTGATCACCAGCCACCTCCCAACCTTCAAAGGGCAAAAAAAGTAAAAAAAAAAAAAATTCAAGAAATGGATGGTTTCTGGGTCATATGGCAAAAAGATTTCTATGTTACCACACTTTTTTAAGCAATTCAGTCTGTTAAGATTTTAAACATTTAACATTTTAAAGATGTCCGTTATAAACTATAGAGGAGTATAATAATGCTTTTGAATGAAAAATGTTAGTAATCGTATGAACTGCTGATTTTATAGGTGAATGTCACCTTGAAATCAGCAAAGCAATTGGAATTCCCTGACCTGTGCTATGCAGCTCAAGGGGGATGATCCACCTGATCTCTTCCAGCCTTAAAACAGATGAATCAATGAATCCATGCATTAAACGATAAGCATACACTTCAGCGCCCCTCTGCTCGACATGCGTAATTCAAAGCTTGAGTTACGTTGGCCTGATAGGGCGGAGCAGACTGAGGAAAATCTCTCAGAGAAGGCTGGAGGTGGGAGAAGTCCCGAACAGGACCACTTTCCCCGGTGAGCTGTGACTGCTCTCTGCTGCGCTCTTAGCACACGTGCAGAGAGAAAGCTCATGTGCTCAATGAACAAAGATCACGGACTTCCATGAAGTTTACCAAAAGAATTATGTGTGACCTCAAAGGGCATAGTTATCATAAAACATGAAAGGAGGTAAACTGGAGAGAAGCCAACTAGTAGGGTTTTGGGTTTTTTTTCAGTGGGGATATTCATATGCATCAAAGTCTGGCGGGATAGGCCCTTGGCTGAAGGGACTTCACATAGGCTGCAGCTCCTGCCCTCTTCTGGTATACAAGAGATTTTTTATTTCTTCTTCATGATATTGTGACATTGCTTCCCACAGGAAATTTTAAGCCTGGTGCAATTAAATAAAAGGGGGGAAACTGTGCTGTGACTCACGCAGCAAACAGCATATTCATTTTGATGGGTGCTCCACCGCAACATCCACCAGTGCAGGAGAGAGACAGGCGGGTAACAACACAGGGAGTTTGGCTCACCGTTCATCCCATCGCACTTTGAGTTGCCGACATTAAAGCAAGACGTCTTCATGTTGCCTGGCAGGATGTTCCACCACTTGTACTCAAACCCAAGAGCTGGTTCAGTCCCAGCAGGGCAGGCTTTGCATTCTACAGGGCGAGAGGGCAGGAAAGGAGATCACACAGCCAAAGTGCATCTCAAACAGTGTTTTAAAGAACACAGACATTCATTTTCTACTTTCTGGGGCAAGTAATAAGCAAAGAAAATAATTCATTTCTTTATAATTAAACAGCAAAAGACTTACTGGGACCGGAAGAGTGGAAACGAGACCAGCATTTTATAAATTGCAGATTATAACTTTGTGGTAAGTAATCTGCAACTGATCCCCCAAGCCACGTTTCCTTTTTAATGGCTTCAGCTGAAGGTTTGATCATACTGGTAAACATGAGTTCCCACAAAATTCTGTAGGTGACCACTGGGCCAATACATCTCAGAATCAACAAGCCAGAGTTTAGGCTAAACGATGTTGGCAGGGTACTCCTCTGACAGTGCTTAAAATGAGATTTTCACGGGGGAGAACTCAGCATGGACAGGAGAATGGGTGAGGAGGAATTACTGACTGTAAAAGTTCTGATTCCCTTCTCAGAATCCTTAAAATAACCCTCAGGACGTTTGTATCAGCCAAGAAATGCATCCAGAACACAACAGGTCATCTTAGAGCAGCAATCCCTGATAAGAAAGGATTTCAGAGAGAAAACAGATATCCAACTCCCTCTCTCCAATGGTATTTAATAACTATTTATTCGAAAGGAACTTTGGCTTATGATGATGTGTCATTAAACTAAGTCACATGCAAGCAGACAATTACTTCTGGGGGCACAAGCAATTTTTTTGTGGACTCCTACCCTGTGTCCCATCCGAAAATGTGCCTGGTGGGCAAGGAGTACAGGAAGACGAGGCGTTGTTGTAAAATCCAGGATTGCAAGGTGGACAATCCTTCCTCTCTCCAGAAGGAGGTAGGGTCAGTGCATTGGGGAGATCTTCTCTGCAGATCTTGGGTTCAATCCATTTGTACATTATCTGAGTCTGGAAGGAGAAGACACTGAGCTCACATGGTGGGCTAGGAAGCTTTAGGACTTTGTAAATTAAATTAGGGTATTCCCAGCATTTTAGGCCAAAACCAGACCTTGCACATCCAGGACAATAAAGGCCGGAGAAGGTAAACAGAAGTGACTGGATTCACAGGCAATTCCAAGATTTCAAGCCTTAAGAGCAAAGCAAAAATGTGAAGCTTATAATAATTACTACTTTTCATTCCCATTTATCTAGTGGATTTTCCCATGAAGATGTTTCTGAGGAACGTCAGATAAATAATTCTCACAACTGCATACGCAATCTCTGCATTTTAATCACAGTAATCCAAAATATAAATTCTGCATTATAAAATCCCTTTATCGGGAAGGCATCTGTCAGCAGAGGACATCACAAGTTCTGCATTTTCTCCATACTGGCCTGTTCTTTGGAAAGTCCTCAGTTTCTCTCCAGCCATTTTCACCTACTGAGCAGATGCCAAAACCACATAGGAGCTCTTCCAGCCCTTCTCCAGTCCCTCCGCATTACCTAAGGAGCAGTCTATGAACTCTAACATGAGTTGGTCCTTGGTGTTACTGTATACAGTGGCATCACCTCTCTGACATCACCTCTCTTTGACAAGACACAAGTTTTCTGACTTCAGGAAAAAACAGGTGAAATGCATCATCCGTGGTGTTGGGTTTCAAATTCCATCTGTCTTTGGGTCTATCCCTGAAAGGGTTTAATACCTCAAGACAAAAATTAGTTGAGTTCCAGAGCTGAGAAACCCAACTGGCAAGACTTTAATCCAGCCACAGCTGGGTACTCTGGGTACTTCCACCCTTTGGTCCCAGCAGTGCAATCAGGGATCCTTGAGGCCAGAGGCATGGGTACAGAGGTTGACAAGAGAGATTTTACCTTATGAATTTGGTCCAGGACCCTGAGCACACACCCCTGCCATCCCGGGCATTGAGCTGCTCACACTCAAGGTTAGTCCTCTTGAACAGAGCTGTTCAAGAAGTATTGACCAGCTTTGAACCTGTTTGAAAAAAAAAAGCTGGAAGAAGCTTCAGTGCAGGCTCAGGCCTCAGCTCCTGGGAGCTGCAATTAAGCGGAGGCTCTCAGCCTTTGTCCCTGCCTGCGCTGTGTTGCGGCCATGCCCGTGGCCAGGTCATGTACCCTGGTTGATCCACACCATGACTGACCCATGGACTTGATGTCCCTGCTGGACACTGCTCCTGCCTCATCACTACAGACATGGCAAACTGGGCTGAACCTGGCCATGGGCATTGGGTCTGCTTTGCTCTTCACTCAGGTACTGTGGTACTGCTCCTGCTGCCAGTGGCATCTGCCTCTGCCTGCCTTACTGTCATCCTTGGCTCCTGGCTCCCTGTCCCTTATGGATCAGTCTGCTCTTGCTGCTCCTGAACACTTACAGGATTTTCCAGAGTATTGCTCCAGAAATGCTTCAGCAGTATCAGCGTGAACAGTGTTTAAAATAAAAAGGATCAGAAGCTGGTAAAGTACCTGTGCAGTTGCCCAGAGCCCAGACATGCTGAACACACCACAGTAACCCTCCTGCATCTGAGCAGAGAGGAAAAGGGTCAGAGCATGCCCACAGCCATGCAGGTGAGGGTTTCTAAGACGGAGGCTGAAGCAATCAGCCTGGGATTTTTAAAGCAGCAGATAGGTGAAAAGTTGATAGGAGTCAAGTGCCTAAATCTTCTGAGGCCCTTTCTACACATGGCGTGGGGACAGGAGGAGACAACAATCTCATGTCCAGTGAAAAACCTGGCTAATTTTAGTAAGCCATGGATCAATAGGCCTTTAGACTGGTGCTTTACAGCCACTGTTCACCTGAAATTGGGCTGCAGAGTCAGGCCCTCTCGTTGGACTGCATCACACGGAGAGATGGCTGGGGAATACATCAAACCCACACTGATTTCCAGAGATGCAGAGCACTAAGTGGTGAAAGCAGCCCCGAAAACCCAGCCAGTATCTGTACATCTATGGCATGTGATGTTGTTGCAACTGGAAAATGAAGGGTGTCTGCAGAAAGGCCCACTTTTTATTCTGATGATGCCCATTAGTGAAAGGAAAAGCCATTGAGGGGGCAAGAAGAGATTCATCAGTGGGATCTTATTCAATGCCAGGGAGCCTTGAATTGTGCAGAGCAGTGACAGGGTTATCCGCAAGAGGCTGCAATTAAAGCAGTACCTAGGGGTGTAGCAGTGAACACTGCTGCTAATTCTTCGAGTCATTATGGGAAGTCCACATAGCAAGAATCAGTGAGTCAAGACCAGGTTGTAGAGCTGGCCAGCTCTGGGGCTAAACTCACTGCTGCTTCGTTATCAAAGCACATGAACTCTCAGCTGCATTTTGGAACTGGCTGACCCAGGAGACTCCAAAACATTCCATCCTGCCAGCCAATATTAGGCCAGCAACCTACAGGTGCTATGAATTTTGACTACTTACCATCCCATCCAGATCTAAGAGGGGTGGGAAAGGGAAAAAAAGAGGCCTGACCACATGTCCACACCTCTGTGGGTTCCATATCCCAGTAAATGGGAGTTTCTTCTCCAAATCTCACCAAAATCCCCACTTGACTGCTGGGACAAAGCCAGGCTGCTCCACCAGCAGGTCCATCTGATAGACCCAGTGGATCAAAGATCTTTGGCTGAAACAATCTACAGAGTCCAGGTGTTTTGAGGCATCCCATGAGGCAAGCATGTTATTAGCAGCCAAGCTCTGCTGCTGCACATGAATACTCCCAGGTAATGTATATACTATTATTTCAGCAGATGACAGGGTCTTCTTTGATGCTAATACAGGGACATGATACACATCATACCTATGCAGCCCAACACTCTTCCACATGAGATAGGTATGGTCATGTCCAATGCTCCTGTGCCATGATAGCACCTGAATCATGCCTGGGCATTTCTGGAACAGGGCAAGTTGTCACAAGCCAAACATATGCCAGGAAAGATTGTTAACAACTAAACAGGGTTTATTTTGGGACAATACTTCAACCTGTGCTCCAATCCTGTTTTTTTATGAGCACAGAGGTAGCACCAGTGACCCAGTCAGACTCATCACAAGTGCAAGGAGCTTGGCAATTTTCAATGACAGGCAGATTCTTACAGATGGATAAATGCTGGAGAGAAAGCAGCTAAAGGACAAGCCCAAAGCCTCAGAGAGATTCAATGCTGGAAGCAAAACTTGGAGAGCAATTTGGAAAGAGATTCCCAGAAACCCTAATTCGTTTTCAAATCAAGAAATCACACTAAGCTCAATGAGATTAAAAATGGTATCTACTTACTTTTCCTTCCTTATCACATGGGGTATGGATCTGGAAAAAGTCTTTGTTTGTGCATGGAGGACGCTCTATACACGCACTGGATCCCTCATCTAAAAAGAAACGGTGAAGAACAGGATGTTAAACTATCAAATGGTCCCTGGAAACAGCTGTAACAAGCTTAAAATCTGGAGATTCAAGTGCGTCAGCATACAAAACAAGAATGAAAAATCAAACCCTTAATGGAGTCTACATGAACCTTCCCCTGAAGTGAAGGGGTGGGGGAGGACAGGGAAAATACCAGCTATGCTTGTACTCTCATCTGAAATTCATTGATTCAGCGTAACCAGGGAGTCACCCAAACCCTTCACCTTCAAGCAGTAATTTGTGTAGTTTGCCAAGCATGGAAATATATTCTCACTTGATAAGGAACAAAACCACTCTAAGCCATTATAAACTTCCTTACAACACTGGCCCAGTTTTTCCTCTCCCCAGATAATTTTTGCAAAAATCCATTCCCATCATGAGCACAGGCACAGGTCCCCAAGCATTTGCCATAACCTGTGACAGCAGGTTCTGTGCTCAGTAACTGATTCTTCAAAAACTTTCCTATAAAACAACGACAGTGAAGAAAACTGAAGACATTTTGACCATGAAGAATAGATTTTGCCCATGTTTTTTGATGATCACCAGCTAACCACAGCTGGGAATGCAGAGGACTTTGGGGAATAGGGTTTGCAACTAGATCACCACATCTTCCAACTGCAGGGGAGGCAGGGACGGGCCAGGAAAGGATTTGGAAAGGAGATTCCTAGAAACATGGCAAGTCTGAAGGCAGTGATGAAGCCAGTTCAGGTCATGGCCAACTGATAACACAAATTACCACAAGAGGGCACAGCACGACTGTTATTCTCCTTCAGAAGAACCACCCTCTTCCTGGTCACAAAAGATCTCCATCCCTTTATGTTAGTGCAGGTGATCCTAACCAAGACCAAATGTGGCCCATTGTCTCTAAGTGCCCCTGCAGCTTTTGGGAAGCCCCATCTTCATTTCCACTTTGCATATCAAATGGAGACTAAACTTAATTGTTGGATAAAACCATTCTCACACCTCTACGCAGAAACAGCTTATGACCTTACGTACTCAGACTCTTCTGGTTTTGCTTATCCCATTTGATTTATGTACCTGCATAATATATCTCTTCTTTACACTTGGTGCACTCCTTAGCTCCTTTCTCAGAATAAGTATTTCTTGGACACACCTGGCAGCCAGATGAACCCGGTTTGTCACTGAAGGTACCAGGCTTGCATGCAAAGCATTCGGATGTATATGCAACTCCTGTAAGGCAAATTACAGGTAAAGCACTGAAATACAGAGAGGTATGCTTCAAAACTACTGCCTGCCTACCTATGGGGAAAAGCAAGCCAGCTGGAGAACACAGCTTAAAAATCACCGGCTCTCACTGCACACTTCAGACACTTTGGCTTTGCTGAGTCATGATTTAGGCCTTTAATCTTTGCTCCTCAGTGCAAGTGTGACCCATGAAGAACCTTATATGACACTCCAAAAGCAATCCCAGGTTGATTGAATTATTTGAATAGTAATTTAACTATCGCTGTTATGATGAATATGTCCATCTTTTTATCACTGTTGAGAGGCTGACTGATAAGCATGGTCTTTCTATACTAAATAAAAGAAAACCCGTTTACTCCTTTTCCCTCTATTTGCTAAGCCAGCCTTCTCCAGTAGATGGCACCATTTACCAGCTAAATTAATTTTTCAGCCTTTCCCTGGCAGTGTGAAGTATTTGGTGTTCTGTTTCTACACTTTAGAGGAGGAGACACGGGACAAGGGGGCTAAAAAAACTGCTTTGGTGCTGTGGGCACACCAGTAGAAATGGCACTTGGCAAACACCTTGAGGAAAGAGCGAGATAAGACCTAAAAGGTATCACTTACCTTCAATCGTGATGTTTTTCACCAGAACTGGTTTTACTACTTTGGACCCCATGAGAATCCCCGTTGTTCTCCAGTATAATATATTGCTACCTGACTTCAGAGTTACCTGCAACAACACAGAATCATAGAATCAATTAGGTTGGAAAAGACCTTTAAGATCATCAAAGATGCATGACAGTTAGCGGGCATCCCCTCACCAAGGAATTGTTTTATTTCTTATTTCCATTACTCAGATTTCTTGCTTCCTAGCAGCAATCCTGGCTTTTTCTATGCTGCTTAGTGAGTGGAGAAGTAATGGGGAGACAGCTAGGCAGATGCTGTAAGGACATCTCTGAGGACCGCCAAAGTGGGTTTAGTAAAAAAGCTGCTCGCCTCCCCCATTTTAAGGAAAAACACCAAGAGCTGCTTCTGACCTTGTAAGCAGAACTGGGAAAAAGCTGTTCCTGCCTTTATCCAGCTACCCCTGACCATCAGGAGCTTTTATCTCGAGCTCTGTGTTCAGATATAGTCAATCAGTTTGTTTTTAAGGCCTTGAGATACACTTTTATAAAGGAACACAACACGACCCAGAGTTCAGAAATCCAGGCTCACAAGCGAGTTTTGTTTATAGGATTTAAAAATTAAGCTCTGTCTGCATCTAACAGTACAGAATCATGATCAGTAAGCGAGACACAAACCATGAAAATCCCCAGCAGCAGTCCCATCCCTCCTGCTCATTTCTGACCCTGAACAGCAGATGAGATGCAGAAAACAACCCAGTTTCCAACTGTTTTGACCTACTTGCCTTCACAGCATGGTCCAGCATAACCCCTGTGCTGGCATTGGAAGGGTGGTGGGTTGGTGGCACCATGGCTGGGATAAAGACGAGGAGGAAGGCAGGACTCTTCTTTCAGCAGCAATGTTGATCCCTGCTTCCTTCAACTCACCTCTGTAACTACAGTATAACTCTACTTCATAGAATCATAGAATCGTTTAGGTTAGAAAAGACCTTTAAGATCATCAAGTCTAACCATTAACCTAACCCTGCCATCCCACCAC